AAATTAATTAAATTGATAAATAATTTAAGCAATCCATTTTTTCTCATTTCTTAACACATTTTCTGTTTATCAAAATAGAATTTTAATTGGAAAGTAATATTACAGTCTAGCAATTATATTCTCTCTAATTCCATATTTGCTTTTCAGAAATTGTCTATCGAAAGTTCTTAATTGCTTCATCAACTTATTGTCTTCATATCTCTTATTATAAATACATTATGAGTATCCATTATCGGCTAATCTATCCAAATATGCTTGTATACATTTTGAAATTCTATTTAATACATTTCTATTCTAACCTATTCTTCTTTGAATTGCATATTTTATGAATTAGTTAGCTCTGTATTTTTATATATTATACATAAACATGATTATAATTATAAATGATACAAACGTAAACATTTAAATTAAATTTATTTTTGCATAGTTTTCCTCGAAATTACTAGAAGAATATTTAATTATTATAAATATATTAATAGAGAATGAGAAAAACTCGTAAATGTAAAAATTATCTGCATTAATATTTAGGATTAAATAAATAATTAGGTTACTTAATAAATTAAATTAATTTTTAAATAGTCTACATTACAATAGTTCTAAAAAAACTAGTTTTATATTACCATCTATTTTTACTGATAGTATTCATTAATGTTTATTTCAAACCTAATTAGTTTAAAAATATTAAAATTTATTATATTTGATATATTTTTAGATTTTTTTTTCCTCTAGATTTGTGTCTAAGCATTATTCTTCTCAATGCTCTTCTGTATCTTCATTGAAGTCTTTAAATATTGAACTAAAGTCCCCTTTTTTTTTCTTAGCCAAATCAACATCAAATTCAACTATTTCCCTTGGTTAACAATAAATATAAGCTAAGTTAATGTTTCTTGTTATCAAAGATTGGAATAGAAAACAGTTTTAAATTTTACATTTTACCATTAGAGTATACCTAATAATATTCTCTTAAATTCTCAATCAAACTCCAAAAACTTTGAATTTAAATTGGGTATTAGTTTAGAGAGTCTTTCTTTCTTTAGCAGAAGCCTAATTATAGGATTTCTATAAAATATCTGATTGTTTAATTGAGTGGACTCATTTTATATACTTTACAGTTTCCTTCCTAAGTTTTTTTACATATTTGTTTCAAGCTATTTTTTTTAACTTATTATCTTATATTGTTATCATCTTATAATGATACAGTGATATTTTTTTGTTGTTTTAGATATCATATGATTTATTTAATCGCCTTCAAAATGATATCCAAATATTATTTTATTAATTCATTTACTATTTTTTAAAGAATCATTTGCTTTGAAATTATTGTAGAATAAATCTCAATTAATTTATTCAAAATAATATCTGCCAATAAAATTACATATTCTATTAATGCTATCT